CCCCCCCCCCCGGATAATCCAGAATAAACCCCCACCTCAAGATCTTTAACTCCAGAGGCGAAGTCCTTTTTTGCCATGTGAGGTCCAGAGATCAGGTTCCGGGTTCCAGAGATTAGGACGTGGTTATCTTTTGGTAGGGGGTTATTATTCTGATGACTGGTGATTCAGTGATTTATTCCGTCCTCAGACTAAACTAATGTCCCCTTTGGCTTAGGTTTTTCAAGCTCTTTTTCTGTGGTTATAATGAAAAACGGCCAGATGAATCCACCGCCCCACAGAGTAGATGTTAGTAGATATTTGCGTGGAAAGCAAAAATGGGGTTCACAGATACTGAACGCACACAGTGCACACAGCACATGTGAAGCCCTTAGTAAATGAACCGAATTAGTTTCGTACAATGCAGAGAAGTCCATGTTGCCATCCTTGTCCACGTTCTTATCCACGAGGGTCCAAGGGGTGAAGCGACTGATTGATTAGTCACTAAGGGCACACAGGGAGGGAGTGGAGGTTAGGGCTGGGAAGTCAGGCGTGTCGCACTTTCCCCCACATCGGGCTTCTCAGCCCCAGCACTCCCGATGCTTTGGGCCACACAACTCTATGTTGTGGGGCATGCTGTGGGCCTTCAGCAGCATTCCTGACCTCTACTCACTAGAGGGTGATAGCCAGTTGTGACGCCCCTCAAGTTGTGACAACCCCCGAGTTGTGACAACCAAAAGTGTCTCTACACATTGCCAAATGTACCCTGGTGTGTGGGGGGAACCCTCCTCTTCTTGAGGACCACTGCCCTCCATTATACTATCCTAGTGGAGGGGGTGTTACAGAAGGGTGCTGTTTCAGCTGGGAGTTGAACTCACATGTCACGCAGAGCAAGGAAGAGGCTGCCTCTATGCCCCTGAGGCTGCCTCTATGCTCCTGGTTATCTATTGACATTTAGCCTCTGGTTCCTTTAGTGAGAAATTGCTGCTGGGCACCTTGCTGCCAGAATGAAGACTACATTTCCCAGCCTTCCTTGTGGCTAGGTGTGACCATGTGACCACATTCCAGCCAATTGGAGGTGATGTGGGCAAATTTCTAGCTGTGCCTTTGAAGGGGAGGGTCGTACGCCCCTTTGCTGCCTTCTTCCCTAGTCTTGCTGCCTGAGATATGGACCTGGTAGCAAAGAGATCCAGGAATCCCGGGTCTCACTACAAGGGAGTCCCCCTATTGCCTGGCCTGCTCGTGCTCAGTTATTACTAGCGAAACCGATTCTCTTCTGGCTTAAGCCACTGTTATTTAAGAGTTTTGTTACAGTTTCTGAGCCTGCATTTAACTATTACAGCCACCCAAGCAGCCATAGTAGGGAAGGAAAGAAGGCAAGGAAAGAAAGGAAAAGAAAAGAAAAGAAAAGAAAA